CATGGATAAAAAATAGAATAATAAGAAATGAAAAACATAAAATAGTTATTGGGAAGTTATCCATAATAGTGAATTTTTTTCTCATAACAAATTTCAGGATACTTTTTCTTTTCCTACTTTCATTTGTCTACCGTTTTATTTAAAATTTGGTGATCAAAATTTTATTTAAAATTTGACAATTTTCTCCTTACGTTTTTCTTTTTATTGTACATGTATAGGAAAGAAAAAAAAATTGAATCATCTCAGTTTAACCCAGAGAAATAAATCTACGACAAAAGACGATGAGTAAGTTTATTTTTGAAATAATATACACGTCTTGAAAGAAAAGGATCATATTTGTTAGTGATAATTTAAGAGAAATTATTTCCTTGCAGACATTAATAAATAGTCATACCTGAGTTGAAGTATTCTTTCTTAAAGAAGTAAAATACTTTATTTGTGATATGTTTTACAATGTTCATATGATGGTGATATATGATACCTTAATTTTAATACTCATTGAGCCCAGTTTTCCCAGCCTATATATAAGAGACCAGCTTAAGGTAAAACTGAGGAACACACTCTTTTCAGATTTATATAAATCAGACTTATAGATTTATGTTGTCTGGAACACAATGCCTACCAAATAGCTGGTTCAAGAGCTAAGAATACAGTGAAGCCAGCAGAGTAAGGGATCTAGAGGAACCTAGAAGGCAACATGCCAGCAACCAACCATATTCATATTGGACTGCCAATGGTGCCTTGGATGAAGTCAGTATCTGCAGAAAGCTACTGCCTATGTATTCGGGAAAGAATATTTGTTCACTGAGGCTAGGAAAATTGAATTAAGAACAGGGATTAAATTTTCAAAGTAGTTCATATGTTCAGCTCATTTACCCTTTTAGCTGTATTTTCTGTGTGCCACGCAATATGATGGGTGGATAGACATGAGAAAAATGAAGTTTCTATCCATTGTGAGATGATGGTCTTATGTTAAATACTAGAGGCCTGATGCACAAAAATCGTGCAAGAGTAGGCCTTCACAGCTCCGGCTGCCTCAGCCCTCGCGGCCCCAGCTGCCTTGTGGCCCCATCCCCAGCCCACTGGTCGTTCCGGAAGGTCATTCCACCCTCCAGTCTAATTAGCATATTAGCTCTTTTATTATATAGGATAATCCCAAAAAGCAAAATAAAATGACCCTTTTTATTTGGAGCCCTTAGAAAAGTTGAAGAGGGAGACACAGAAATACAGAGTGTGTGTGTCTGTATTAGGCAAATGTATCATACATTTAAAGGAACAAATGTGGAAATTATTATTAATCAGTTTCTGAATGACCTTACTCAATAAAATTATAAATACCAGAGCATAGAAAATATATTTTAAATACGTTTCCCCCTAGTAATAGGAACAAGTAAGATTAATGAAATAAAAATTAAATGAAGAAAAAAGATAAACCAGTATTGGAAAGTCTGTTCCAGACAATATATTTCTTAATATGTTAATAAATTACATTTGAAAATTTTAAAAAATTGCTTCACTTTACCTCTATATTTGATTTCATTGGGAAGTATTGGATCCTTCAACAGTGTTCGCCTACAGCTATACTGTTCAGTACATGTAGGTATAGAGCATTTAGAATGTAGCTCATCTGAATTGAGATGTGCATAAGTGTAAAGTACACACCACATATCAAAGATTTAGTGTGAGAAAAGAATATTAATTATAATTATCTCTAATCATTTTATATTCTATGTTAAAATTATATTTTCAGTATATTGGGTTAAGTGGAATATTAAAATTTATTTCACCTATTTTTCCTTTTTAAAAATTTTTAGATTTTAAATTACATTAAGTGACACATTATATTTCTGTTGGCGAGTCAGACAGTTTTTCACCATACATTGTATCAAACAAATTTTTAGAAAACATTGAGTAAATAATAGTTCCTGTGCCAATTATTGAACAAATGGAACTATATAAAAATATGTAGTAGTGTGTGTGGGGGGGCGGGGGTGGGGGGTGTGTCATCATTTATACATTTA